TAAACGAAACAGAGAAGACAAAGGGAACACTGACTTTTGTGGCAATCAGCGGAAACTTATTAGGAAATTACAAAACTATTAAATAATATAAACTGCCCGACACACTTGACTCTTCTCTGTCAAACCCTATAATATTGCTGAGAATCGCAGTGGCATTGAAACTGAAGTTTAAAGAAACCTTGATTTGCAATTGTAAATTTGACATTGATGTTTTGTTCCTGAAATCGCTAGAAAGGTTAATGAAACGAAATCGTATTGCTTTAAAACTTAAGCTTGGTGTTGGTTAGCAACTGTATAGTTTATACAAAAGCTGAAACTTCGTGTTTCCTGCGCATCTGGTCTTTGACAATGGAATGTCTTTTAAAATGGTTTAGTTTTTGTTTGTTTAGTTTTTGCACTAAACTACAAGGTTTCCACAGTTCGCAGTTCAACATCTAGCCTACCTCAGAATGTCGCAGTCGGTCGGCAAATGCCTCTTGAAGCAATGTGGTCCTGAAGGCAAGCAGAAGTTCGAGAGAGCTCAAGTCCGGAGTTCCAGTCCAAAGGGGCTCAAATCGTAACGAACTAAAAGTCAAAAAGGGCTGACGTCCAGAGAGGCGTTCATGTCTCTGGATTAGCTGGAGTTTTAATACCGCTGAAGTTGCCTCCTACGTGCTTAGCGAAGCGTGTAAAGCCCTATTAGATTTTACTAATTTTTTAATTGATTGTTTTCATCTATGGCGTGTACAAACCCCAGGGGAGAGGGGAACGACAGCTCCATCCAGCGTAACTCCACATGCAGGTAAATATAAAATATCAATTCTTGATTTTGTAACGGGGAGGATGGCACACTAGGCCCCCTATTTGGAACTCGCAGAACAAAAAACTCTAACTAAACCAAGGATCTTTGAAGGAAGAGTCGCAGGAAACTGAATAAATAAGGACTCAGACACCAATATTTGACTTCAACAAAAGAACACAAAAGAATCTATTAATGAAAAAGTACAAAAAAATGCAAAAACCTCAAAGGATTTTTAATAAGAGAACTTTGAAAAGACTAAAAAAGCACCAAAAGACTAAAACTTTAAAAGGACTTAAACCAAAAAGACTAAAGATTTAAAAGGACTAAAAACAAAATCAAAACCAAAATCCAACACAGTGCGTATAAGTGGTCTTTCAAGTACACTCCTAACAAGAAGTCAAAGAGTTGCGCAGACAAAACACAAGCAGGGCGCACCACTCTAGTACATGTATACTCTAACACGTATAGGGACATGTACACACTTCACTGCTGGTCTGCTGTACTGAACTACCTTGACCAGGAGGCAACTTTATAGGGGACCTTTTAAAATTAAAATTAAAAGTCAGGGGGCACACTACCAAGAAGTAGGGGGGGTATCCAACTGAGACTGAAATAAACATTTATGTATTCCTATTCATTTGGCCTTAGCCTCAGGGATAATTATTGCATTTTAGCAGCGCGTCAATTTTTTGTTTGGCTTATGTCAGTTGTTTTAGTGTAGTTTTTTTGCTGTCTTTCCTCAGTGCCTCTAGGAAGTTTTAAGGTTCACCCCCACTAAAATGCTGATATCGCACACCTTCACACCGCTGCCCCAAAAAGAGCGAAAGGAGAAGAGGTCGAAGGTTGCTGCTTTTACTTTTAACGCCAAACTTACAGTAAAAAAGTGCATTTGCTTACCTTATGTTTACCTGACGCACTACCTCTGTGGTATTGACATGATTTAA